TCGGCTAAGTGTCTCCCTACATGAACACTTCCTAGGATTTGGTGCCCCCTTCCTGCAAAGGGCCCAGACCCCACCTGCAGCTCACCCTGGTGCCAGCACCTGCTGCCCCTCCACAGGCTGCCTGCTCCCGGGTACCCCCGCTAGCCAGGTTGGTCTAGGAGACCCTGGAGTGACCCCCTTTGGCCCCTAAATTTCTGCTCCCCTTGCCCGTCCGTGTCTCTTGTTTGGGCCCCGTGGGCCTTGGGCAGGGCCCCAGCTGGGAGGGAGGACCGTCTGGCGGCCCCGTGTGCAGGGGGAGCTGCCTGGGGAGCCCGTGAGGTTGCGCTGACTGTGTGACCTTGAGCTCCCCGCCTGACTCCTCTGGGCCCAGCTCCCAGTCTCAAAGTGGAGCCTCACTCAGCACGCTCCTCTCAGGCGGGCTCCCCCGCTTCTCTCAGAGAACAGGCCAAAGTGCTGCCATGACTTCAGAGCCTCTGCTCCAACCACTGGCGCCTCAGGCACTTCCTCTAACCCACACGCCCACCTCAGGGCCTTTGCACGGTTGTTCCCAGTCCTGGAACAGGAAGTTTGCTCCAGACGTCCTTGGTCCGTGCCCTCACTGCTCTGCTCAGGCGCCTGTATCAGGGAGGTCTTCCCCAACGCCCCAGGTGAGGCCCCTCCCCCTCCTGCCATGGCCGCCCCTGGCACTTCCCCCCACTTTGAACACTGCCTCGCGTGTAGTGATGCTGAATAAATAACTGGAGGAGTACATCTGAATGGACATACAGCTTGAGAGACGGTGTTGTGGGGACAAGAAGCCACACACTGAGAATTTAGAAGCTCGATGTTTGTAAAGATGGCACTGCAGGAAGGAGGGAGGCGCTGGGGACCAAGGTCTCCCAGTTCCTTTATACACCAAGGCTTTCTGTGTGCCCGACCCAAGACCCTNGAGAGGGGCGCTCCTACGCTGCCCGAAAGCCCACAGGTGGCCGGACACCCTAAGGGCTGAGCACCGGAGAGGGAATGTGTCCGAGGAAGCCGATGGGGCAATAGTGGGAGTCCGTTCTGCAGAGCGGGGTGGGCAAGGTGAGGGAGGTAGGAAGGAGGTCTTCCGGTCAGGGCTTCCTGAGGTCTCGGGCTCCCGGGCTCGCCTCGGGGCTGAGCTGTTAGCCCTCTCCTGGGTGGGGAAGGGGGTGGTGACTGGACGAGCAGCGCGAGGTTGGAGGAGGGGCCTTCTGGTTTCTGTGGCTTCCGGGCAGTGGTGTGGGCAGCAGTGATCCTCAGCCGGAGATCTGGCCCTATGAGCATCGGGGCCCCTCTCCCCCAGGTCACAGGGCCGCCTCCTATGTGGCGCCCCCACCTGGGCCAAGACCCTCAGACCAGGATGGACTCAAGAGCCTTCTGTGTGCCCCCCCTCCCAGTCTGCAGCCAGGGAGTCCACTCACAAAGCTAGCCTCACCTGACCCTCGACTCAGAAATTAGGAGCACCTGTGTTACCCAGGTAAAGGCGTTCTTTGGCCTGCACGCAACAAAGCCAAGACAGGAACAGGAGTTCACAGCAAAGAGAGTCAAGTTAGGGAGTTGGCACCAAGCCTGGAGACACAGGTGAGCTAGTACTCGAAAGACCTGGCTCCCGGATGGCCTCTAGAGGATAGATCATATGGGGGATTAATTAGGCATGGTAGTTAAGGGAGCTGGGGTCATGGTCTCTACTTGTTGGTGGGGGCTAAGGCAGGAGGCAGTTGATCATCGCATCAGGTCCTGACGTCCATGGCATCGTCCTGTCTGGTTTTGTGAGGATGTGGTCAGTGGGGTCATTCTGCTTTCATGGGTCCAGGGCTGAAAATAACTGAGGTCAAGATGTTACCTTTGACAGAAACTTTGCTCTAGTTTTGGGTTTGACTATTGTATTTTTGCAACAGTCGATAGACCAGAAGTTTCATTCTTAATTTAAGGGCATTTGATGCGGACCAGAACCTTTTCCTGAGGCCTTATTGATTGAGGGAGCCGACATGCAGTATGTGCAAAGGTGCAAGTAACTGGTTGAAAGAAAGAAGTGCATCCTAGTTCTGTTAGACTGAACAGAGCTAGCTTGAATTCAGGAAAAGTCACACTAAAGAAGTTCATGTGCGGTTACACCTGTTAGAATAAAGCCTGTCTCTTTAGCCTGACATCACCGCCTTCCCCGTCTGTGTGTCCTGTCTTCAGGTGCCCATGAAATGCCTTGTCCTTCATTGAATATTCACAGAGCACCTGCTGTGTGTGGCCCTGGTCCGCACTTGCATCCCCACCCCCTGGGCACCAGCAACATCCCAAGCCCAACCCTGTTTCTGGCCACGTTTGCCTGTGGGCCCTCCATGTGGCCCATGGTGGTTTCCTCCTCTTCCTATAAAGCCCCCTCCGTGGGTTTGTGTGTTTCTGCCACCTGCGTGTTCCAGGAGGTTCACACTCTACACTCTTATAGCACATTTCCTAGCAGGAGCTGTCACATGTGACCTTTTCACTCAGCCCTTCTGGACGGTGACAGAGGGCCCCAGGGGAAGGGGCTTCTTTTTTTTTTTTTTTTTAAAGATTTTTATTGGGGACTTGAGATGGGAACAGTGCTGGGGAATTGGGGGAAGGGGGACAGATTGCTGTCGTTTTGTTCTTCAGTCTAGTTGTGGAGGACGTTGCTTCACTGGCCCAAGTTGGCACCATCATTGCGCTCTTCCCAGGTGAGGCAGATCAGTCGCCGGCTTCTGGACGGCCGCTCACTGCGGCTGCTGGCCGCTCACGCTGGCTGCTGGCTACACACGGTAGCCCATGGCAACCCACTGCCACAGGGACTGCAGCCTATGCCATCACCGGCGACTCATGGCAGCCCAGCTCCAGGTTGAGCTGTTGTTCAGCATCTTAGCTGTGGAGGGCAGTGTCACTGGCCCTCATATGTGGGATCCGAACCGGGGTCCTCTGGCGTCCCAAGCCAGCTCTTAACCAACACGCCACTCGGCCGGCCCGAAGGGGCTTCTTAACTATACACACAGCAAGGGGAGGCAAGGGGCTGAGGCAGGATGGCAGGGTGGCCAGGATGGAGCTGGGTGAGAAGAGGGACCCTGGGATAGGGCAAGGTCTAGGAGTCCATTAGGTACCATGTGAGGGGTGTGCATGGGTGTGTGAGTGTGCACGTGAGTGTGTGCATGTGAGTGAGTGTTAGCGTGTGTAAGTGAACCCCGTGTTTCTCCAGAGTTCCGGGGTCTGAATCAGCTCCTTGCACGATCTTCTGTGATGTGGGATGACAGGAGCACGGGAAAGATCAGCTTGGGAAAGCTTCCGGGGCTTTTTCCTTGGATGCTGAAGGCAGGGCTCTGAGTGTGTCATGAGATGTCCCCAGCTGAGGTGTGGTGACATCTATAGGGGTTCCACAGTCTCGGGGTGATGGCACCCTGCTGTCCCCAGGGACACAGACACGCAGTAGGCCGTTACTTGGGGCAGGAACAGTGTCCAGGCAGGACCTTGTGCTCCAGGCCCACGTGTCACAAACCCCAGGAGTCCCAGATGCCAGGCTAGCGATGGGCAGTGCTCTTGTGGCTTGTGATGGGGCAGTGAAGACTCACTGTGCGCCTGCTCCCCACACCCTAGGTGTTCAACTGGCCACCACCGCTCCCTCTGTGGGGGATAAGATTCCTGTAACTAGGTCTCAGGTGTTGGGAAGGCAGGTCTGAACTCGCCAGGTGTGTCATTTGGCCACCTGGCCCTGCCACACACATCGTTAGGAATGCAAGCAGGAGATTTGGTTACCTGGGTTTCTGCTGGAAGCTACCTGGCGACAGTGGCCATCAGGTGTGGCTGGGGTGGGAGTCGGTGGTCTTATTATGAGCCAGTGTGCCGTGGCCACCAAGTGGGCACCTGTGGGTCACCGTGAGGCAGTCTCCCTTCTGAGGCATCTCAGACATCTGACGTGGGTGGGGAGTTTCGGGGTGAGGTTGGCTCACAGCTGGAACTTTCTCTCCATCTCCACCTCACAGGGTCTCAGGGGACCTCACAAGCAATGACCTGGAGGGGCCTGGGCACCCAGGCTTTGTCCGTGGGTGGACAGGAGGACTCTTTGCACACTCCAGCCCAGGATGGGGGATGGGGGGCAAGGAGTGTCACAACCAACCACCGTGCCCCCTGTTGTACTGATTTTCTGTGCCTTTGAGGTCTGGCTGTGGTCCCATGTCCCCTGTCAGCATCCTGTGCTTTTAATCTTTTCTCATCTGGGCTAGTTTCTGCCTAAGGATGTGCCTTCTAAGGACTTCTTGTCCCAAGAATGACCTTTCACAGGCAGAATATAATTTCTCCAGGATGTCCAGAAGGTGGTCAGTGCCTGCCCTCTCTCCGGGATTTCAGGGTTGTACCCAGGAGGAATTCGACACCTCGTCTGGTTTTCTGTTACACTGGGCACACCTAGGGCGGGGCTGGCCGCTGGGAAGGCCACAGGCTCAATTCCCACTATCAGAGTGAGGCCCTGTGGTGGGGCGTGCAGGGCCCCTGCAGTCTGGTCCCTCCGTTGCCGTCCCCCCTCTCCTTTAGCCACCTGGAAAGCTCCGGGTTCCTCATGTTCTTTGGGGCTTTGCAGCCTAACTGCCAATGCTCACTACCCCCCCC